AATTGAGACTGATCACATTAACTTGTCTGCCAGTGGATCCAAAGGGGCAGTAAATGCTGGAAAGAGAGACATAATGAATACTCTAAATTTTCTTCCAGTGGCACAGCTGGATTCAAAAGAGGGCACCCGTCCTTGGCTTTTGTGCCCTATCAGTATCCTGCCCCTGTCAGCCTTAAGACTCTAAGAAAGTATGAGCAGCATGGGAAACTAGTGTAAGAGAATTTCCAGTTTGGAAAAAAATTAAACTCTGCCTGCATCTGCGGCTCTTCTGGGCAAATCTAGTCAAGAGATGTCTGCAAGCACTCTAGGAGCAAGGAAGAAAGAGTTCATATCCAAATCGCATGAACTCCCTGCTAACCTGGAAAGAGACGGTATCACACTACTCATCAGAAGAAAAACCCCCGAGCCCGTCAGCAGTGTACTCTGGTTATCGGCAATATTCACACTTAACACCAGTTTCAGGTACATGCTCACAACAGAATCGTGGGATATTACTACATCTGAAGAAATCATAACCTCACTATTCACCCGGCCCTGGCCTGGCCCCACTAACTCCACTCAGCTGTTGCTTGCAAAAGCTGCAGGAATGTTACACACAGCTGGCTTTGGATGCTGGGAGCCTGTCTGAAATTTAGGAACAATCCATGGCTGGAAATGACAGTCAGCAATGGGATTTCCTGACCTACTCTCTCCGTAACCAGCCCTGAAATGGGGTCAGCTGACAGATTCCTGACAGCCCTTGCAGAGCAGTGAGAGTTTAATGCTATACATACTGGATTATTGCTGTTAGTTTTACTATCATTATGTTATATATGCTATTTTTACACTATTGTACAAAATCCCATGCCATAGCTGAGCTGATTTCATAAAGCTATGACTCTGTCCTACACCACATTAACTGCCACTGCCAATAAGCTGACAGTGCTTTTTCTGCAATCGTACTGAAAATACCCCTCTGGGCTGAACAGCCTCTAACAAACAGTTAACAAAGTGCCTATTGCCGACAAGCATTTTGCGCAAAACATCACAAGCCAGGAGGCAATTCCAACAGGTGTGAAATCATGTTGAAATTAGTATCAATGGCTTTTTAGTCTTTTTCTAGACTCAGCACACAGCAGCATTCTGCATTCTTCTATAGGAAAGTGGTATCACCTCTGTTAAGTGGGTTTTTCAGACTCAGAAATAGGATGCTTTCCTGAAACTGAATTAAGATTATGGGACAATAAACTTTAAGATTAAAAAATAAATAAATCTACACTACACAGAGGAGTGAACCAACATTTCTTTATCAACATAATTAAAAAAAAAAAAAATCTAAGCAGAGAGGTGAAGTGTCTTTCTCCCTCTCTCTTTTTTTTCCTTTATAAAGAGAACATGATTAATTCTTTCTGTATTTCAAAAGCAACATTTTTCTTAGTGTACGCATTTTGAAATTCAGTGCATACAGTAATGCCATGCATCTGTAAAACAATCCACTCTCACAGAGTGAGAGCTGGAAACTTTGCACAGGAGTTGTATCAGTGTCCAATCTTCACCAATCAAAAACCCAACCAATACCCAAGCTGCAGGCCGGCCCTGACCGGACTTTGTCATTTTAGCTGAATGGTTTGGGTTTTTAATATGCAATGTGAGTTGTAATTGGCTTCTAAAAATCTCATTTCAGTTTAACTCCACCGAATTTAGGAGTTGAAAAATAAGGTTCATAACAAAAGTGTTGTCATACCCAGTAAGAGGTATAATAACGTAGGGCAGTAAATGTAAAGTAAAAGCATAGGCATACTAAGTTACTGGAGATGAAACCCATGGCTATATCCTAAGTCTTCGGGAATGTCACAAGTTAACAAGTTTGGTAGTTTACAGTTATATGCTCACTTCCCCAGAAAAGCCCCCCTGTAGTTAAAAAAGGCGAAGGGATGTGCTGAGTGAAGAAGGACAGTGACACCTCAGTGAAGACAGCCCCTTCAAAGGGCAGTAGTGGTGAGGGAGTTAAAGTGCTACAGAGAGCACAGGCAGGAATGAGAAGTCAGCCCCTGCCACATCCTCTGCCTCTCAAGAGAAGGACTGACTATATGTCAGGAGCTATGGAAAGAAAATGTTGGGCGTCGTCCATGGAGACAGGGAGGACTGGCTGCAGCACAACAGGAAAATTAGACAGTGGAATAGGTGGAGTCTCCTAAGCACCAGTCAGCGAATGAATGCTTTTTCACCTCGCAGAGATGCAGCAAAGCCTTGCCACGTATCACAGAATCACAGACCACCAAGTGGAAAGGTACCTCAAGGATCATTTAGTCCAACCTTCCTTGGAAAAAGCACAGTCTAAATCAGATGGCCCAGCACCCTGTCCAGACGAATCTTAAAAGCGTCCAGTGTTGGGGAATCCACCGCTTCCCTGGGGAGATTATTCCAGTGGCTGATTGTTGTCTAAGTAGTGTATCTATCCACCACATCTCACAAAATCAGTCTCCAGAAAGGATTGAGGAGCTAGCTCCACTCAGATCCTTCAGGGAATGCTACTGTCATCATCCCTGAGCTAGGCCACCCCATTTATTTTCAAACACAAGATGTGGCACTTTGTCTCAATAAACCCGTTGAAAAAAACCCCATCATTATACTTATGCACTGTCAGGTCTCCCTGTAACCAGTCCACAGAAAGGAACAAACTGCACTGAATGTGCTAAAAAAGCTCCCAGTGGGGATACAGGGAAAACACACAGGGTACTCACAGAATCTTCAAAGGACTCCAGAGGCAGGTTACAAAACCCCAACACAAGATCATCGTTCTGAGTCTCCTTGTAGAAAAAGGATCAGGCAACCACACAGAAGAGACCACTCTCTTCCACTTCAACATTGTCCATTAAAAGGCAATTGCTGCTGAAAGTTTCCCACAACAAGAAGCTCTTTTGATTCCAAAATAACTCCACTAAGAGAAATCTTAGCAGTTGTCATTTTTACATTCTGGCTTTACATTCTGGATATTTGACTGGGCAATGTTCAACCAGGAACAAAACCTATTTAAAGTACATGCACAGTACATACTATACATAGATATCAAGGGATGGGAGTAGGTTATGAAACATGGATGCTGTAATGTTTTACAAAAGAAAAAAATCATAGTTCAAAGGTCTTAGGGAAAATGTAACAATGTAATTGAGGTTATGAGGTCATAATCCAGTTTCCCAACTGGACAAATGGTGAGGCCAACAACATCTTAGTTTGTCCTAAAGCAAAAGCTGACTGAGAGGAAGTAAAATAGCCCAACACAACCTTGGTAGTGACTTGGTCTTTCAAAACTGTTACTAAAATAACCCAAACCCTATAAAATCAACCACAAGAACAGTGGAACAGAAGGAGTAATAGCAGACTATACCCTGATCCTGTTTGCAAGACCTGAGGAAGAAGGAAGCCTAACTTGATGTATGCTGTGGTGGTTTGTTTTGGTTTTTTTTTTTAAGAAATGCTAGCTTCATTAGCAGAAGACCCACTAATTAGTGAGATAACCCTACAACACTGCCATCTGCTTCCAGAAACTGCTCCTTCTAGGCAGCATTCAGCACAGATGTTTCAAAACTGCTATAGACCCGGGCTCAAGGTAAAATACCAAGGAAAACAGTACATCATCTTCAGCTTGTTCCCCCACAGCATTGGACAAGAAGAACGAAGTCAACTGGTGTTAGTCCATGTGTGTAAAATATTCAACATATAAGCACAGAAGAGAAAAAAACCCACCACACCAATCTTTTAAAAGAACATGCATCAAGCTTTGTTTCTTTTACAGTGCAGAGGATTGGAAAACCTCCCATTGACTTCATCAGGAGCTGGGCCAGACTCTGAAAATCTTCACATAAAACTGCCATTAAGGCTAAGTTGCATATTGGTGTAAGGCATTTCTGGTTTATCCCCTACTATTTTCCCCTCTCGATCAACTGCACACTTGCAGCACATCATGTCCGAAAAGAAAGCTTAGAAATACAAAGACAACTTCCTGAGGCTTGCAACTGTATTAAACATAACAGTCAAAACTGAACACTAAGAGAATTAACATGTATAAGGAATTACCATATTTTGTTTTATTATGTAATTTTGAGAGGTTTATAACCACCAAAATCTTATCATAAATCATGACAAACAATGGCAAAATGTCACTGGTTCAATGGACTAAGTTAATCCCATACTTCGCAACAGCTGTACTTCTGGTTTTATTACTGCTTCTATGGCTTACAAAGCAAAGCAAAGCTCCAGCAGACGGAAACAACTGTGAAAGGCAGGAATAAGCAGAGAGAATATTGTTACAATTGTACAGCTTCCATATTGCACAATTATTTTCACATTACTCACACTCAAGACAGCTTTCACAGCCATCAGTTTGCAAAAAGCTCAATTCAGTGTTTGCATTTCAACAACTTTATTTCTAAATGAACTCATACTAACTAAAACATCTGAGTATTTCAACCTAAATGTAAAGAGATTAAGACTTAAAATATTTGCTTGACACCATGCGGGTGAAATTAAAAGCACTTTTGAGCTCTTTGATTCAGCGATGTGCCCTGGCTACAACCCAACCTTGCACCACGGCATGAGCAAAGAACAACCTTGCATCTTTGTTTCAATGAGGAGAAAACCTAGGAGCCCAGGTCAAGAGATGACCAGGACTGCTGACTGCAGTGTGGCACCACTCAAACAAGAAGCATCCTTTGTATTTCAGCACCATTTGGTACCCTACTGGTTTCCAAACCAGTCTTCCTCTACCTTTCTTTTCAGTTTTTCTTATAGTGCACCCCAAATAAGAGTGCTGTGTCTTCTACAGTAACACAAAGAATGCAATTTACACAGAAAGAAAAGAACTCAGTAAAGAGCCTGGAAGAAATTCAAGTCCAGCATAAATAGAAGTAATTTTCAAAGGTCTCAACAGTGTGGACCAAACCACCCTCTGTCCCTACATCTTGACATTAAATTGGTTTAAAGTTAAGAGATTTGCTCACAGAGAGATTGGCCTTTCTTACCTTTTGCCACATTTTGATGAAGAACAGCTCCCCAGAAAAATTGAAGAAAACATTGGTGTCGTAGGCATCATCCCCGACGTTAGAGATGGAAATGTTAAGCGAGATGTTCCTCACCGCTCCCAGGGCCAGGTAGGCAGTTCTGTCATCAACACTGTAGGCAGAAACAGTTACACTGGTTTAACTCTGAACAACTTTCACACTCTGGTCCTTCCTTCTTCGTGCTATGAAAGTGTCACAACTCAAATGCTTAAAAGCTCAGCAGTCAGTAATTTAGGAATGTGCTGTATGACCAACGCATGGTGTGGGGGGCTGTACAGGGAATGAGAAGCTCCTGAATCCTGGTTCTGCCACTGCCTTTTGTGACTGTGAGGAAACCCCATGATCCTCATGTAGAACTACTTCATGTGACTTATTGTTAATACAATTTTAGTGAGAATAAAATAGTTGAAGACTGTAAAGTATTTGGAAAGGGGAAGTGCAACAAGTGCAAGATATTATACCCACATTCAAATATACAAGCTATTTCAGTTTGTCTCTCAGCAATTCAAACTTTTTCTAACATTCTAGTAACTTTCTGAAAAATCTTCTTAGAGTTAGGCTATAGATAGAAAAAAAAATGGAAAAGAGGGTCAAATAAAACCCAGGAACTGCTGTAAGTAGAAAAACATATGGAAACTACAATAAACGTCCACTGGATGTGACTAATCTTTCTTCAGGTGTTTATGCTGGACCTAACATGATGGAGTCATCTTCTGTAAGTGGAATATCAAGGGAATAGCTGAATTAAAATAACAGCTATGTATCATGAATCAACACACTATTGTAATATAGCATCACAGATTATGAACACAGACAGACATGCATACATAGGGGCAAATATACATATTCATACACACACATATATTATTTTATATTTACTCATAGTAGGCTGTCCAGAAGAAGAGATAAGAAGTAGGAATAAAGGCTAAGGATAAATCACAAGAAAATACAGCATCAGTGCACAGATCTTCAGGTCTAGGAGCTAAAAGTACGGTAAAAGATAATATGAAATATGCACGCTACAAATGTAAACATAAGTAAAACCAGGGAAAATATCAACTTGGCTACAGTTCCAATAACTGGAATCTAACACCATTCATACATCCTGGAGAAACAGAGACAGTGTCACAGAGAAAACACTAAGTAGCTAGTCAGAAAAGGACAGAGACATCCAGCCACACAGCAGGGAAATATTCTCAATTATTTTCCCTAGGAGGCAGCCAGACCAAAAGAAAAAATGAGACACCTCTGAAAAAAAGTACCCTTGCACTACCCAGCCTGCTGTCACACAACACACATGCACACAGCGGCCCAGAGAAGTCCTTAACTGACCAAGCCACCAATCTCCATGAAGGAATGGCTGTGCCAGGGACGTACGCGTTGGCACATGCTGCTCCTCTGCATACCCGCAACTCTCTGAAAACGGCTGGGCTGCAGGACATGAGCTGTGTTTAAAGGCAGCTTGTCCCTCCATTGCCACGAGCCCTCCTCCGCCAGCCTTGCTCATGGTACTGCAGCCAGAGCACCTGAATAAAAGTGGGGTTTCTCAGAACACGGTGCTTATAAATCCTGCAGCATCTTCTGCCAACCACGGCTGTAGCAGACCTCCACAGGCAGAGCCTGCTGGTCTTCATCTCCCTGTGTCTGCCAAGAAGTTTCTAGATGTGGGTTTGTGAAGGTGTGTAAAGAGACTCAGGCTTTATAGCTGATGGCTGCGGATTGTGAGCACTTTTCCATGATAATGACATAGACAACATTTATAGCACATTTGTTTCCTGTACTTACTTAATTTATGATTATCTTCATTTATTAAGCACAAAATTATGGCTTACAGTTCAACGACAGCTTCTTATGAAGCAGATACAAGTCTCCAAGAAATGTGACTGCTTTCTCACACTTAAAATCAACTGCAGACACCAACTAATCCACTTTGGCCACTTTGCTTTCTAAACATTATAATTTATTCTCATAGTCAACTATCAGTGCAAATAAACATTTGCAAAAGTGTACGCAGAGCAGGATCGACTGCAAAACTAATTTGAGAGGTCCCAATCATTTGAGATGTTGCTCCTTATATACCAAATTAATGGCACAACTATATGAGAGTACTTGGAAGCATTTAACCTTTTGGCCCCAACCTCAACATTTACTGTTGAAAAGCAGACAAATTATGAAGATGCTAAACAATCTGATGGGATTTTCTAATATTCAAAAGCACGTATTTGGAAGCAACGAAATAAAACAACCATTTATTACTGTGGATTATTTCCCATGAACTTTATAGTCTTACTTTTTGCAACCACTCCAAAACTTAATCAGCATTTATCAAACCCATTACCAAAATCTAGAAGTGTCACTTGAGTAAGCAAAAGAAACATACTTATCATACAGGGTTGATACTAAATGCAATGCAAGCCACAGAATCCTTTCTGAATTGGTAGTTTTGAATTGGCACTTTGAGATTTAACATAAAGTCAAGACAATCAAGAATATTTGCCTTATTATTGAATAATAAAAAAGTACTCAGAATGAAATTGTATTCAAACCTAAACCAACAAAAAATGTCAAAATAAACACCATTGGGTTGTGTTACTCCTTTCAAAGCTGTCACTCTGTTAAAAGTTCATCATTCCAAAATGATGTTTATAGCAACATTTTCCTCAGCAGAGAAAACAAACACTTTCTAACAGCACAGTGTAGCTGCTGCTACACAAAATTCACACACTAAAAAAAGTCTGAAAAAGCTCACTGATTTTAGACTGGTAGAAGAGTTCAGTTCTTCCTCTGAAAGGCTATATGACGTTGTGCTGTAAGTCCCGTTTTAAGAGAGCAGCTTTCTGAGTCATTAAATCTGTGTACATCTGGAATGAATCAGGTTCACTTGCAGCGAGAAGAGGATTAGGAATCTCCCCCTTCACAGGGGAGCTCCCAGGCCCTTGTTTGCTGCTTGAGAGAGTAACGTCATGGGGCGCGGACAGCCTGTTGTGGTGCTGGAGCAGCTCTGCAGCCCACCCGTGCCATCCTCCTCCAGTGCCTGCTGCATTGCAAGCGGCCCAGCTGCCAAGTCAAAATACATCAACTAAAGAACTGTTGTCACCCACCAGAAACAAGAAAACAAACTAAAGGCACCACTTCACCTCGACAAGGTATGTCAAACAATTTAAGAAACATAATCAAGCAATAGCTTTCAGTTTATGTTTTGTTGGATGAGAACTATAAAGCCACCAATGTCCTCACCATGACCCTTGTAACCTTGCTCACGTCAAGGAAGAGAAGCTAAAAAGACTCAAAAAAGAAAAAAAAAAAAAAAAAAAAAAAAAAAAAAAAAAAAGAAAAGAAAGAAGAGGAAAAATATCAAGATATACTCAATTGGACAGAACACCACCATCTCATTACATCAGGTACTACACACAAACAATGAACTGAGTGAGTTCTGGGTAGACTGCAGACACATTATATATAGGAAACCACATCTGCGCACACACACAAGTACAGGTACATAAAGGGTGTCAAGCTATCAATGTTTGCATGGAAGGGGAAAGAAGTTTGACATTCAGTACTAAATACCTGCAGCTTTCATTCACATGCCCCAGACTTGCAGGTAACAAGCAGTTCTGAAAATCAGGCTCCAAATTTCTGTCACGGTTTTGCATTCACTGGCTGTGGTACTACACATCAAATGTAAATAGAAATATTTAATGTTTTTCTCTTAAGTGATTAAGAATAGGAAACTAAATTCCAGGATAAAACAAGTATCACGTTTTTTGCATGCTTTAACATTCTTTGTTAATGCCTGCATCACATCATTGCACTATGGTCAGTGAGGGAAGAAAGACCAGCTGGGAAAGGCAAACTGAAAAGGTCTGCAGTATTCATTTCCCCACCCCCCAAGGTGCTGGTGTTTTTATTAACGTGGGTCAGGGGAGACATAATCTGCATTCCAAAAGGTACACAGGGACATATTTCTCGATTTCCTGCACTAGAGAGAATTTTTTAAAAAATTGAAAAAGCATTTAGCACTTCCTCTCAGCCTGTGCACACCATACATAGGGCAAGGAATGTGATGGGGTCGCACTTACCCTGATAGTCTGGGTCACCAAATTTCCCTTTTGTATTAGGAGCCTTTCTTTCCTTACAGCAAATCAGCACCTACGTGGATAAATCACCACTGCTTGATGGAGAGTAGAAGCTACAGCTGGGGTCAGTTAGTCTGAAAGTGGGCAAAAATGCTTCAAACAACTGAAGTCCAATCTGTCCGCCATCTCCATCAGGTGAAATTAAGAGTCCCACCTTTTGCTTTTACATCAGTAAAAGGTGTGACTCAACAACATTGGTCCTGTGACAGATCCAAACAGTTCTTTATTTTCCCCAACCAGCACTGCAGTTGGTCTTTGCATGACATTTGAATACTAATTTTGTCTCCACAGACTCTTTACATCAATCCTGAAAACCTTTCTCCTGATGGGTTTTTATTACAGGCTCCATGGTTCATTGAACTTTGGGAGGAGTTTTGCAAATACTTAAACCTCAAGGGCCAATGAAAAGCTGAAACCCGCTGCTGATCTTCTGGGAATTCATTTGATGTCTCCGAGCAAAACTGAGAGGTAGCAGCTCCATAAAGAAATCCAAATCAAGTAAAAATTTTAAACAATCCCCAGGGAACAAAACTATTGGATTTTTACCCTGCTTGGTTACACTGTCTTGCCATCACGTGTGTGTTCAAGGTTAATTCTCTCCACAAAGTTCACAGCCAACCTAGACTAAGGACTCAGCCAAACACTCAAGATATAGTGGCTTATTCTGCATTAGCTGAGCTGCCGCTTTCTCCCTCTCACACTGAATCCTACCCTAGCAGAGGCATTAAGAGACCTCATGCAGTGGATGGCTGGAGCCTATCTGAGATGCACTAAGCCAGCTATGATAAGCTATCTCTGAGCCCATCAGATCATTTCATTAGTGATCTTTTCTATTTCTGTTTCTCAAGTGGAAACTTTCCAGTGTGCTCTGAGTAGCAGATAACATGAGGTGATGGGAAAAATAATAGAGAGTTTGAGTAGTCAACCAAGACTCTGTGTCAGCAGGGCAAAGTCTGGGAGTAATCTCATACCAATA